ATTATTATCAGAAGGGATAATAATTGACATGTTCCGGCTCAGGCAGAAAACATAGCAACTGCTGAGAAAACATTACCGGACGGGAAGTAAGAAAACTTGCCCTGCAGAGAGTTAAATAGCTTGAACACTATAAAGCAAAGAAAGTAATCAAAGAATTACACAACTGGATACTACCATAGGAAGGGATAAATAATATTATAACCAAATCAATAGATTTGTATGAGATGCGGAATTTTGATCTCACACTACTTTAAAGTCAACCCTATTTTCAGATTACTAATTAAAATTCTCAGATTACTAATTAAACATAGTAAAATTATAAGTGAACATATAGAAATGCTAAGTGAATGCTAATTAAACAATATACAAACACTGATTAAGAATATTAAAACTGTAAGTGAATATTGTAAAATAGTAAATTATAAATCACGGGAAACGAACATATAAATCGGGAATGATTTATGAAGTTAAACACAAATAAAATCGGAAAAACTGATCAAGTGATCAAAACAGTTAACACCAATAAAATAATTGACTCACGGAAATATTGGAAATATAAATATTCCAACATTCTAAATGTAACGAATTACAAAGTCTCAGAATAATATTTAAACGAAAGAATTTTACATGACTCATGTTGACTAGAAATTACTTGAAAATAATTCTACATGGAAGGTTTAAATAATGATTAAAGAATACATTAATTAGTATAATTTAGGATTTTAAAGAAATCGGAGAACTAGATGATAGAAACCTCTAAAATGTATAAATACGTTGTAAATTTCTCTTTCATGTAATCTTTAGTTTTTTAGTAAACTCAAATATTATTATAAATAAACCTTGTCCTTGACCTTGTCCTTGTTAACTTTGAACATTATATTTTCGTAATGATAATAAATCTACCCCTAACAACGAATTTATACTAATCCCGTGCATAATTATTTTCTCTTATTTTATATTATTTTTATTATTTTTATTTCTTTTTTTTTCATTTAGTGCTTTTAGTGAGAGACGTGCTGGCTCAGGCAGATAACAAAGAACTGCTGAGAAGACGTTACCGGAAGGGAAGTAAGGAAACTTGCCCTGTAAATAATTAAATAGCTTGAGCACTATAGTAAAAGATAGTTTTGAGAGTAAAGCATAAATATACATTCGCGGAAATTGTTATTACAATTTAGTATAAATAAATGGGAAAATTGTATTGGCATGTCATCATAAATAAAAAATCAAGAGATTTGTGTGAGACAGAATTTTTGATCTCACAATATATAAATTCTAATTAAATTATAAATATTTTATCAATGCATGCTAATCATTATAGAGTTTATTATATGTATTAATATAAGATATATTTTATAGAAACAATAATTTTTATAACAAATATATTATTAAATCTCAAAGGAAAATTATTTATTTTTAATTCTTTGCCAATGAGTTCTCAAGGTAAATGGTATTAGTTTTATTCATGTGTAAATTTGAAGCATTAAAAAACATTCTAATTTAAAAATAAAATTTTTGAAAACATAACTATCAACTAGACAAGTTGAGGGATGGTAGTGGAAGTCAATAACAAGACAACAATATATCTCTATCTATTCTACATATACTATTTGTTCTGCTTATTCTTCATGGAAGTTATATCAAATTTTCTTTTTACTTTTAAACATGTGAGTGCTTCCTATGATTTTACTTGGTGAAGATAATTAATATAATTAATATAATATTGAGTTAGTATTTAGTATTAATATTTAATATTTAAATTAAGTACTTCTATACAACGCTTTCAATTTTGTAAAACAGTAAAATCCTTTTTTTAAGCTAAATTCCATTTATATTTATTCATTATATTACTTTTTTTATTTTAAAAAAATCATTTTGTTACACCATTTTAGTTTCGTTTTTTTCTTACGTTAATAAGCATATCCCTAAAAAGAGCAAAACACACTTAAATTCTACTTAATTCACACTGATGTTACACTTAAACAATACTTAATTTCTACGCAAATTTAAGTATGTTTTGAGAGCATAATAAGGATATTTTAAGTGTGCGAACTTTGCATAGGGTCTCATTTTTTTGGTGATAAATCAAAGGTCACCAAGATGCTGAAGATCATAATCAATAGAATTGTATGTAAACATGGTGGTGCAGGTGCAAAGTTAAGCCCATTAAAATTATACAGGTTACAAATATATAGTAAGTGTTAAAGAATTTGAAAAATGATTGTATAAGAGTTTTATTAAAATTCTTTTATATCAGATAATGAAACAATTGTCTATGAGTTGTTGACCTCTTTTCAAGGGTTGTATATTTTTCATGAAGTCACGCAGTCAAAATTGCCAACTAATAAGGTTGAAGTAGCATTAATATCACATACCATAACAACATTTCTCAAGTTTAGGGTTTGTTTTTTTCCCCTGTTCTATACCAACTTATCTTTTTTTATATATATCTAACAAAATTTCATCACTAGGAGTTACTTATGCAGAGTCTAAAAGATTATATTGTGGATACATATATTACATCAATAGATTCCAGTGAAAGCGTAACCAGTTTATCACATGTAGCACAGCAGAAATTCTTTATAAATGATCAGTGTTCGCTTCACATTTTTAAGGAATAAAATTTATCACTTAATAAAAGGGAACTACATCTCTTATCATTTCTTTGTTAAAGGTAATTACTGTGTAATTCCTCGATTCACAGTGTCACCAATCAGGATTTTCGTGTAATAAATTCAAAAAATAAAAATAAAAAGCATATTTTCAATTTCTTCAATTCCAAAAAATGGATCACCAATTTGATTTATATTTTATAACAATAAAAAAAAACTTTTTTTGTAAATATAAACACAGGAAGAAGGGGATGAATACCAAGATCCAACTTACATTGAGACAGATTCCGACGAAGTACTACCTAAAAAATAGTAACTTATATTATATTCGTGTTGGTTCATAATTTATTATTTATTATCATTTGTAACTTTTTTATTTAAATTTAAAATTTTTTTCAAACAATCAAGGCGAACCTTTAAAAGAAATCGGTAATCACCCATCTATAAGGAAAACCTTAGGTTCAAAAATTAGTGAAAAAATAAATAATGATGTTTTAAAGAAACCTTTCAAACTTCCAACCAAAAAAAAGTCGGGTAGTGATGAGTTATTTATTGAAGAAAATTTAAATGATGATGATTCTATGCCAAATATCATCATAAAAGGTGATAATAAATGTCAATATAAATTATAACAATGCTTTGTAATAATGTGTTTATATATTCATCGATGCTGTATTGTATATTTTATAAATAAATGGCGATTCTATTTGACATTATGTGTGTAAATTCATGCGCAACGTACTAATGTTAATACACAATATATTAAATAAATATTCTAAATACTCATTCTCAATATTCCTCTTCCAATATATTAAATAAATTATTTTATGATTATGTATAAATTCATTATAACGCGTACATACAAATCGGAATTTTTTATTTTTTGAATTTATTACACGAAAATCCTGATTGGTGACGGGGAATTACAAGTGTGAATATCCCAGTAGTGGTAGTAGATAAGTAACCCTGATACAGATAAAAAAAAATCTGGATCAGGAAAAATCTATAAATTCCCAGTCACGCGGAAAAGGAAGTAAGTCATGGACCGAATCAATCAACAAGCGGAAATTCGAAGAATTATCTATTCCAAGGATTATTTGCGTTACCTAAATAAAAATTTACAATTAAGCGATTCGTGTAACATCTTCGTCAATCATATAAAAATGATGCAGAATTATTTTTCACAATTCAATTTTTAAACAATATAAATTATTAGTAAATTCCTATATAAAAATAAATATAATGGCCTCAGTTACTATTGATAAAATAATGGAAACTCAAAAGGTTACGTTGAAAAGCAACGATGAGGTAGAGTTCACAGTTAATGTGTTAGCTGCTAGTCGTTCCGTCTTGCTCAAAAATATGATTGAAGGTACTAATTTTATTATTATTATATGAATGGCTTTTCCTAGTTTTATTAATATTACTCGATAATTAGACATTGGAGACACCGATCAAGTAATTCCTCTTCCTAATGTTAAAGAAACAGTGTTAAGGAAAGTAAGTATATACATTTAAAACATTTATTATTTTTTTAAAAAAAAAGTATTTAAAAATAAATAATTATTTATTTAGGTGCTTGAATGGTGTGAATATCATGCAAAAGATTCACATTTATTCGATGACCATGATGATGCTCATAAGAAACTTATTGAGATTGATGATTGGGATCAAAAATATTTGGATTTGGAGCATGATATGCTTTTTGAGATTATCTTGGTAAATGATATTAATTATCTTTTAAAAAGATTTTTTATCATTAATTCTGTTTTGGTTTTTCTAGGCAGCAAATTATTTGGATATAAAACCATTATTGTAAATATAATATTTATATGTGTATTTCAGTATTTATATATATGTATTTATACGTGTGTGAATAATATTATTAATTAATGAATATTAGGGATATTTCGTGTAAAAATATTGCAAATATGATTAGAGAGAGGTCACCCGAGGAAATAAGATCTATGTTCAATATACAGAATGATTTTACACAGGAAGAAGAAGATCAAATACGCAAAGAAAATGAATGGGCTGAATGCAGATAAATAATAATGCACCAAAAAAAGTTTCTACAAAATACAAATTCTTTATTTCGAAAGAAAATCTTTAAATAATCTTTTTTTTTTTAATACAAAATAAACATATATTTCAAGATAAGAAAAAGATTAATTTTATATTGGTCAAGAAAAAGATTCTTAAACGCAATATATAAACGTATATACATGTTTTTATAGTATAATAATCAAAAAGCAAATTGTTTAGATTATTTAATTATAATTAATATATTTATATTGTTTAATTAATATATTTATCAGTACATAAAGATAAATATAAATATTTGATTTCATATATATGTATATATTTTTAAAAACCATGAATTATGGATTATTTGATAGTAAAGGAGTTTCTTCTATTGGTAATCCAATGTCACGTTTACAAATAGACCATGAATTACGGAGAAGGTTCATTATTTGACAATAGAGGAGTTTCTTCTGTTGGTATACAAATGTCACGTTTACAAATTGGACACTTTTAAAAAAAATAGGAGAAAAGAAAAATATTAATATTCATTTCTTCTTGGTTAAAGAAATAATGGATTATCATAAAAAATTTAATACTCACAAATCTTTTTCTGGTGGTTAACCAGCTATCAATACATATTACATGAAATTCATGTCTGCAAGGCATAATTCTCAATTCATCCTTGTCAACATAATCCTCCAAACATATAGCACATTCTTGAGGATCATTTTCTTGTCTTTTTGATAAATAGAAAATCTTTGTAGGCAAATTACCAACAACTTGTTGAGGTGCAATTTCTTGTTTACGTCTTTGACGTTGACGAATGTGCCATAAAACATAAATAAATATCATCATAATCGTTGGGAACAAAATTATGACAATAATTATATCTAATAATGGCCTATAATAAAATAATCATATAAAAAAATTAATATTTGATAATTAATCGTTCAAACAATGATGACAATTGATTCGTTATTACCACTGTAAAAGATCATCTTTAATAAGTTGTATCTTTAAAGGATTTCGATTTACTAATAAAGAAAGTAACCGAAGTTCTCTATATTCATTTTGTGCAATAAATACTGATGGAATCTCTACATCTGAAGTATCTCCTAAAAGTTTCATTCAAGCATGAAGAATGAAAAATATTTCTTGTTTAATTTTATCTTATTTTATTTTATTTTTTTTTAAAAAAGCTAGCAAGTAAATAAGAATAAAAAACATATTTACCTGTAGCATACATTGTTATTAAACTATTGCGCTCATTGTCACCCACAACAACAGCAATAGCACCAGATGCTTGCATATTACGTATTTTATCAATAAATGAACACTGGCCACGCTCTACAAGAGCTATCCAATTTTTAGTTTCAATTTTTTTTTCTAATTTCAAACAACCTTTCTGATTATCAACCTCAATAGATTCTATTGGAATAAGATTGCCGATAAGTCCTTCTTCTGTTAACCGTGGACCAAAAGCAGCCATTCTATCTTGATATGTTACATTTGTTGCCTTATTATTTTTATAAAAAAATTGATGAATAATGAAATGAAATATCATTAATCAAACGATTAAAAAACAACAAGAATCATTGATCAGATTTTTCCTAAATAATTTAAATTTAACAAAGAATATTCATTCATCCTTGTTTAATGAATTTTTTAAACAAATCAGTTATTTACTCATAATAAAAGAACTTACCACCACAAGGATGGTTGCATCAGCCGCTATGGTACCAAAATGACACCAGTGAACAACAAAAAGACAATGTGCAAAGAGCAGTAATAATAAAAATCGTCTAATCATTTTTAATAACATTAAAAGTGTGAATTCTTTTTTTTAAAAAAATATTAATTAATATTATTTGTTAATTAATATTTTTTTAAATAATAATGAAAAAATATTTTTTTCCCTTGCCACAAAGAAAATTTCAGGGATCAAATTGGAACAATTGTACTACTGCTATCTGCTTTTTAGGTCTTATTTAGCTTAATTATTATATTATTATTGTTTCTATTTTGATTTATGATTTATTAATTGGCTTTTTTGCATTATTTTATTTTTTTTACAAGATTTTTCTTTACATTCTTTCAATAAAATTTGAATGAGTTTGGAACTTCTAATTCACGAACTTTGCTTTTTAGATCGGCCATAGTTCTTGGAAATCATATAATCCTCTCAATAATATACCCCAGAAATAACTGATCATTCAAAAACGGGTCATTGAAAAGCTTTTGTATCAATTAAATAATTTATTTCCTCGGAAATTCTTTTTTGGTTTCATTTTTTCTTTCTTTCATATAACAGTTAGTGTGATGTTATAATTTTAGTTTCATATCCAAGATCCTTTAATATTGACCATAAACAAATATTTTATCCTCTTCAATGGCATCGATTTTTTTATGATTCTAGAGCTATTTCATCAAACAATTTAAGTGATTTTTCCATCCACCTTCATCAAGTCTCTCTCCGATTCATTCCATATTTTCTCGTCTTCTCTTAAGGGCCTATTTGTTAGGACGCAGGACCCCCTTAAACTGTATACTGCGCCAAGAGGATGTGTCATTTGATTTATTTAGTTTTTTTAGTAGCCTCATTTTACATTTAATTATGACCAAAATAGGTATTTATCTGCAAAATTTGTCTTTCAATCAGGTTTTTTATTAAATAACACACGATCATTTTAGTATTTTAGTTAGCATCTGGGGAATTTTTTCGTAAATAACAACAGTTGTCTAATTAAAATGAATTAATATCGTATGATTTTCAAATGATGCGTGTAAAAGGGCCCAATCATTTTGAGTTTCAAAATTTTATATTATTTAATATAAATATTAATATATAATGATAATAATAAAATTTTGAACCCAAGTTTACGGTTATCATGTGATACCACAAAAAAATCATATTATACATTTGGTAATTTCATAATCATCTGCAAACATATAAAAATTGTCCGCAGAGATAGGAGTTATTATATAATCGCAGTTTGAATTCGTAGTCCAAAAAGATCATATATTGAGAAAATGAATTAATTAAGGAAAAAATAAACATCAAGTGTCAGATTAAACAAACCATCAACGAATGTGCAAGTGCTGCTTTCGTAATCATTTTGAGGAACAATTGGAATGATTGTAACCTAATAAAAAATCACAATAGGAACATTATAAATATATATATCCTTTATTTTCTTTATTTTTTAGAAATAATTTTATTTTAGATAATAAATAGGGGGTGTAAAAGAAAGAGGAAACAAAATTTTTATTTACAATAAATATAACGTTTGTGTTAGTGTTGTTGTTTTCTTTAAGAGAAAACTAATAAATATTATGAATATCATAGGTCCCCAAAAAACTTTTAATTGAGGACCCTGAAAAATTCGAAGGCTTGGAGGTTTTGTTTTGTTTACGACTATCTTGCAACATTGTAAAAATAGCATTTGTGGAAAAATAAAAAGTAAATAATGTAAAGCCCAAAAAATCGTGCATTATTAATACTTATTTATTGAATTATATTACAAGAATTTTGATAACCATCACCATACAAAACATTATTTTGTTCATCACAACTTTCAGCATATTGATTATTATGACAACCAGCTCCTTGGTAATCATCCATAGATTGATCACAATAACTCATATATAAAGGATCGCGCCGGCAGGCAACCATATAAGAATTTTCACCTTGATTAGACCATGATAGTTGTTCGCTGCAATCATCACAGCATTGAACCGAATGGCTTTCTTGGCTACAATATTCATAATTATTGTCATATGCTTCACCACCACTTTCAATAAATTTTGGCCCACCACACGATAATGGTAGTTCTCCATCATATAATTGTGCTCCTGTACCCACTCCTAATGGTAAAGGTTGTATTTCGTCACGTTTATTATTGTTATCAGATGTAATTGAGAATTTAGGTAATGCAAAAGTTGTACTAACAATGGATGTGATGATTATAATCGTAATGATATAGATTGTGATTTTCAACATTTTTAATTTTTATTCTTTTGCTTTCTTTCTTGGGAAAAATATTTTGATTGAAGAAATTGAAGAGAACATCTAGTTGAATAGTTTCTTATATAGTTATTATAATAATTGTTCTTTAATTAATCAATCAATTTGTTTAAATTATTTATTATATTAATTAAACAGCCAGCAATATAAAAATTTATTAATCAATTAAATCATTTAATGAATTCACTTTATTTATTTATATATTGATAGGTGTGTGCACATTTTATGTTACACCAATAATCAATTTGCAAGGCAAATAGTTTTTTGGTCAGTAAAGAAATCGAGACTGTATTCACCTCCTTCTTTTCCCAAACCTATTTATCAACATTGATTTAAAAAAATATATATACATAATGATTTTTTTTAATTCAAATTAACAATAAATCACAATCACAAATAGTTGATTATTTACTTACCGCTTTTTTTTACTCCACCAAATGGCAATCCCAGATCTCTAATCAACCAACAATTTACCCATACAGTTCCCGCTTGTATTGCTTCAGCAACACGCCTTGCACGTTTACCATTTCCACTCCATACCGAGCAACTTAAACCATATTCAGTATCATTTGCATACTCTATAACTTCTTCCTCACTTTCAAATGTATGAATAGTCACAACCTATATCATTCATATATATATGTGTGTGTATGTTGATTATATTATATTTGGAGGTTATAATAAATGATGAACCAAGGTGCTATTTGTATTACTTACAGGTCCAAAAATCTCTTCTTGTGCTACACGACAAGATGGCTTAACACTAATTCAATTAATTTAAATTTTTGATCAATTAATTTAAACGACAAATGAAACAATCAATAAAAATAATATTTACTTTGTGATAACTGTTGGCTCAACGAAATAACCTCCACACAATTCACCATCATCCATCAATTTACGTTTACCACCACACTCAATAACACCACCCTCTTGTTTTGCTAACTCAATATATCCAAGCACTTTTTCCATATGTTGTTTACTAACCAATGCACCAACTTGAGTTCTGGAATCTTTAGGATCGCCAACAATCAATTTCTGAGCTTTTTCAATGAATGAGCTGAGGAATTTTTTATAAATAGTTGATTGAACAAATATTCGAGATCCACATAAACAAATCTAATGATATATTTATAATTAATAATAATCATAATGATAATAATAATGTAATTATGTTGTTTAGTACCTCTCCTTGATTACTAAAAGCTGCTTTAATACTTGTGTCAACAGCATTATCAAAATCGCAATCATCAAAAATTATATTGGGATTTTTTCCACCTATGCAATATATTGTGTGATTTAATTATTGAAGAGGGGGGAAAAAACCATAAAACTTTTTTATTATTTTTTACCAAGTTCCAATGAAAGTTTTTTGAAAAATGGCGCACTCGTTTCAAGAACCTTTTTTCCAGTCACAGTTCCTAAAACGCACAAAAAGAATAAATATATTATAGTTTTTTTTTACAAACGCAAATGCACAAGTATATATATGTAAATGAAATACCCACCTCCTGTGAATGAGATTAATGGAACTTTTGGATGAGAAACTAAAGCTTGACCTGCATTTGATCCTAAGTAATAAAGCTCATATTATTATTGTTTTATTCTTCTTTTTGAAAAAAAAAATAAATGAATATGAATATGAATATGAATATAAAAACCTGATCCAAACACAATATTAACAACACCATCAGGTAAACCAGATTCCTTAAGAACAGAGCAAAACACTTTTAAGGAAATCAAATCAGGTTAGATTGGATGTAAAACTCATTATTATTATTTATTTTCATCTTCCTTTGAAAAATAATTATATTAATCTATTGTATGCAAGGAAATATTTACTGGATGCAGTAACACTTGTAAGTTCACTAGGTTTTACTACACATGTACATCCAGCTATTTCAGGAAAAAAAATTCTTGTTAGTTATTTATATTTATATTATTAATTTTTATGATTTGATTTGGATTTTTACCTGCAATACATGGAGCCAGTTTCCATGTTAAAAGATATAATGGTCTTTAAGTAGGAAGGAAAAAATAAATTTATTAATTAATAATTGATTAATTGCTCAATTTGTTGATCAATCAATTATAAAATATACTTGCAAATTCCACTAATTATTAGAAAAATCAAATTTAATAAAAAATTTAGTACGGAAATAGTACAAATAAACAAATAAAAAGAATTACAGGGGAAATCAATCCAGCTACGCCAATAGGATATCTTTGAACATAGCTTAATGAAACACCATCCAACACATGAGCTTTTTCTTGTGTGTGAAGAATGTAACCAGCAAAATATCTAAAATTATAGATCGATCTATTAATGTCAACATTGGTTGCAAAAGTAATAGTTTTGCCTTGATCTTGTACTTCAGCTTCAGCAAATTCATTTAATCTAGCTTCAAGTAAATCTGCTATTTTGTACATAATTTTTGATCTGATTTGTACTGATGTTTTTGACCATTTTAAAAATGCTTTTTGAGCAGCGTGTACTGCTTGATCTATTTCTTGTTTACTAGAATCTGGAATTTTTGCATGAACCTTTATATAGTATTTTATATACATATATATATATAAGTTATAATCATGATCCTTATAATTTTTACAATTTAAATATCTATTTCTTTTTTTTACCTTTCCAGTCGAAGGATTATAACTATCAATATAGCTTTCTTCTTTTAGAGATAAAAATTCTCCACCTATAAAATTTTTTAATAGCAACATTTTTCTTATTGAAAAAAAAAGTGAGAAAAAGTAACAATTATTTAACCAATTATATTTATTTTTGATTATTTATTTGTTTATTATATATACAAATATAGATTGATAATGAATGAAAATCAGCACATTTAATTAAAAAAAAAGGAAAAATTGAAATTGTTCATAAAATTAAAAAATAAAATGATATAATCATAACACTATTATTAAATTGTTATTAAACCATTATCGTTATTCTCCTACATCAAAATTTCCATCCGATGGCATTCTTAATGCGGCAAAAACTTTTTTCATTGAATCAACAATTAATTCATTGGTTGGTGGTGGTGAAGGTGGTGAAGGTGCAGAGATTGATGTTATTGTTGATAATGCCGGTTTTCTCTAATTAATAAAAAATTATGTTATTAAATGATATTTTAAAAAGAATGAGAATAAATTTTGTTGACTAATTTTACCTTGATTTTAAATTCTTCGACAGATCGATCTGTTATTTCTGGTTCCTGGTTTGAAGGTGATATTGTGGTCGTTGTTATCGGTATATTATCGTTATCATTATCAATAATAGGTATTGTGTTAGCGACATCTATATTTAAAGTTGCTGCAATTTCTGCCATTTCTTTTTTAATTTTTTTCAGGCTAAAATGAATAAAAACGATTAAAATCAATTAAAAAACTATTTCTGATGTGGAAAAGTAACCTACATCCACTTTTCCACTACGTAATTCAACAATTCCAATATGACCAGTATGCTTTATAAAAAAATGATTTGAAAGCGTTAATAGAAGTTTAAGAGGTACGCGAGTTCAATTTCAAACTCGGTTCAGTTTCTTACACAAATTACACTTTATGTACAAAAATACTCACTTGAAAATTAGAAGGAAGACCAATCATTCCCTTTTGGATTTTTTTTTTTGTTTTCGCTATTTTTGTTTTATTCTTAAGGAACTTTACATTTGATAACTTATCATTATTGTCAGTATGGTAAGATTGAGAACTAATACCAGTTTCCTTGAGTTGTTTATCTGAGGATAAAGATGCACAATTTCCCATTCTTATTAATCGTAAAAAGATTTTTATTTTATTAAAAAATTAAAAATTAAAAAAAAATTATTAAATGTGTGTGTATATATATATATGCAATAAAATAAAAAAGTTTGTTTGGGGGGGAAGTTTTAGAAATGCAAATAATTTTTATTTTTAGCATACACACAAACAAACTCGCATTGTCTTTTTCTTTATTTAGAATTTATTAGCTTTTACATAAACTAAGTGATACAAGAAAAACTTCGTAGAGAGAGTTTATAATTATTATAATTTACAAAAAGTACGAGCGAACAGAGTGAACAAACGGTGCGAGCGCATAAAGTACATTGACTTTATTAAACTGAATGCTTTGGGAAGCCTGAGAACAAAAATCAAGCTTGGAAAAATCACCTGACTTAATTCAATTTTCTTATACGGCTAGACCCGCAATTTCGCCTTGCAGATCTTTCCATTCGTAAGGAACTAATCGCTTATTGTTGTTGTTATCATTGTTATTATATTCGAGTGTGAACGATTGGCACTCCTCGGTCAATAAGTAAAGGTTTTTTCTTTCAATATGAAAGGGTAAACATATCACTATAGTTAATAATCTTTGAGGTTTTTCCATCTGCACATAAAAAATTTTTTCAGAAAATAACTTCCAAATTTGGTTAGCATCCCGCCATTTATCAAGTCAAAGATTCCTTATTAATATTAATGACTTTTTTCAATTTAATAGATTACATAAATGTGAAGCATAATAAATTATATTTCTAAAATAGTTGTTAATGATAAAGTTGTTCAGCCGCCCCTCCATATTTTATGATATTTTTTTCAGTGTTACCATGCATTGAATTATTCACCGGTAATTAAACAGTTTCAGATATATTAATATATATATATATGTATATATATGTATATATATGCGAAATTGCGTAGTTCATGTTTTGAAATCGGCGTTATGGCAACACAGAAGTTGTGACTTGTATTGTACGCGATTGTTTTTCTAAATCTCTTTTTTCTTAACGGAATACAGCCTAGGAATCTAAAATTGCAGTTATATAAAAAAAATTACTATTTCCCTTCTTTATTTATTCATCTATCCATTCGTCCATCCATTTGCCAATTTATACATATACATTCTTGTCAGAATAATAGCTTATAAGCGTAATAATAAATATAAAATAAATAATACATATGAAATTAATCAATTAATACAAACAGTTAATTTAATTTGATATACTACCAAAAGAAATTGTATGTTTAGATTGGTTGGTATGCATCGAGAACAAAAGATCCTAATACTAATTATATAACTCTGTCACATGTGGCAAAAGATTATTTTTCAATACAGGCTACGAGTGTATATAAAGTGAACAAATGTTTAGCATTGCTAAAAATATATTCGAAATAGGTTAGATTCGGAAAGGCACAAACGAGTCTATGCCTAAAGATCTGGTTTGAAGCAGAAATTGTTTCAATCTAATTTTATGTATTATAATAAAATAATAAGCTGTTTTTAGCTTAAATAATATTACAAATATTTTTATGTTTTAAAAACAAAGCTTGAGACTTTTTCCGAGGACTTTTTCAAGACTTTAAGTCCCAATATAGGATTGTCATGACCGATTAACATCTTTAATCAGGAACCCTGACCACAAGATCTAATCTTATAACAAAGGTTCGTTATAAGGGTACATCTCTTTTTGTATATTACAAACACGATTTTTGGAGTTAGCGAAAAAATACAATCAATGCAATATTTGACGATAATACTATCTTTGGAAATTTTCGAAAGAAAAGGAAAAAACTGTACACAAAATTGATTACGTTGTGTATAAACCCGATCATTTTTCGCTATCATGATCGTAAGCATTCTTTCAAATTTTTTAAAACGTTCAAAGGCTGTATTTATATAATTATAACAAAAAAAAAATATCATTTAATTAAAATTAAACAATCTGGAATTGATTCATTACTGTTAAAGGAATCAACTAGGTTTTTTTGAAAATGTAAAGAATATTCTTTCCTGCTACTACTGTACTAAAAAAGCATAATGGATTAATTTCCTATTAATTTCCTTATTGAGCGGGTCAACCATGTCTTTTTTGAGAATACTTTTCCCGCCACTAAAAAAACAATAATTTCATTATTGATAAAGGAATCAACCAAGCTTTTTTTGGATGTAAAGAATATTTTTTCCAAAAAGCATAATAATTAAAAAAAAAGTTACCCAGTTTTTTTTTTGGCGTTAAGTTCAATAAAATTTAATTTTGATCATCAACCAATCAAAAACTCTTCTATATGTAAATAACAATATTTTTATCAAAGAAAACGACAAATTCAGTATTTTTAAGAAAGGGAAATTCTAAAAAAACAATAGTGACAATTATTGAGCTGAAACTCTACATTCTACTTATTCTACTTGAGAATTATTGTCAAACAACAATCACCACTGTTGGTGTTACTAATACTAATATTAATACTAATACTAATATTAATACTAATACTAATATTAATACTAATACTAATATTAATACTAATACTAATACCGTAAGTTAAATTCTTTCATAATTTAGAGGATGAAAATAGCTAAAGCCAAATCATTATTATAGATAAAAAGGAAAAATAAAAAACTTGCTTTTATTTAGTTCAAGCTCTAGTTAAACTAGATTTTGACTTCTTTATTATCTATTTTTAGACTAATCGATATTGATAAGTAGATTTAACAAACATCTTGTCAACATCTACTACAACGAATACTACTAAAAAAAAACAAGAAAATCATGGAAAAAAGAAGTTAATTCAGGTATGAAATTTATGGCGTGCTTAAATTTATAATATTAAAGAAATGATATTGATGACACTGAAAACAGATCGCTATGCGATTAATACATGATATAAACTCGGAAGCCCCCGTAATCCATATAATAAAAAAATGTAAATTAACAATTCCAATATATACAAAATTAAAAAATATAATTTATTAAAAATATACATTTTTTCCGAATAATAGACATTTTTAAATTTTGTTACATCGCTAAGATATAATCTTATTCCTCAACTACTTTCAGTCACCAGTCAAAAAAAGGTATGCATACTTTTAATATCATTTTAAATGTTCCAATCATTGCAATATCTATTCATTTTAGGTCGTTAATTAGAATTGGTATATTTGATGGTATAATAGCAGTAAATATAGAAGCAAAAAATTTGATAAAGGAAAAGTTAAAAAATTGACATCTTAAGTATAGTAAACAACAATAATATCTTGATATCAGTTGTATGTTAACTTGGATTAGAAAGGCTCGTGATTTGGTATTCAAAGACATTTATAAAGCTAGCGTAATCAGTGATCATGCCATATTAGAGGTTTGTTGTACGAATTTGATGGTAAATTATTATTATAGTGTACGAAAACTTGATTTTTCCCAAAATTTTAAGTGTATGAAATCGTATATTTGTTCGATATACCGACAGATTTTATAAAATTTATTAACGTTGACAGAAGTGATAAAGGAAGCCAAACTTACAAAGACATCGTTTCAAGGCTTTCCCGGAATCACTCCTATTTTATTAATAATCATTAGGAAGCCCTAGTCTGGCTCTAAAAAATTTTATTATGATGAAAAAAGTCACTTGTTAAAAGAAAAACAACGAAAATTTTTTTTTGGACAACAAAAAATTTTGTTCGTGTAATGGTTATAATGAATGCAATGTCCTGCGGCTGGTAAGAAATTCTCAGAAACTGATTCAAATACTTTTTTTAAAGACAATAGTGGTGACAATAATAATGATAAGTATAAAGAAAACTTAATTTATTCATTACCTTCACCGTATTTAATTTCAGTCCAATCAACAATATGATAAATTCTTTCTTTACAAACGTATTTTATTGTTGATGTTTTTGTGGTGCCAGTCGGGTCACCTATTATCAACATCTTAACACCTTGTAAAATGTTCTATTTATATTTTTTTGATGATTTTTTTCAATTAGATGAAAGGTAAATTGTCATTATTATTGTTGTATATTTGCATTTTTGTTGACATTTTCAAACATGTCACCAAGTGCCTCATCAACTTATTTTCTTCCCTAAATATTATAGATAAAAGGTGATTAATTAAATTAATTAATCAACCAACAAGTCCATGTCCATATATTAAAAAAAAAACTAACCTCGGACAGATCATCGGAGGCACATTTTTTTTTTTAAAAAAAAAAACAATTAATATTAAACTAGAGTGACGACAAGTGCCGATAACCACCATTATTACGATAATCACTTACTCGCGTTGTTCTTTTCCTGTTTCTTTGTTTCTTCTTTGGCAGGCATTTTGAGAAAATTAATTTTTTTTATTACACTACTCAAAATTAAGTTCCTGAAAAAACAATAAGAAAGAAAAAATGAAAATTTATTATTATTATTATTGGCACTTGGTGTTTGTACAAAGATTTTTTTGACATGATTGGAATTTTTTTCTTTGGAGGAACAATTTATTTTGACAGATGGCAAAACATGAGTGAATGTTGTTTGGTTTGGTTCTGAAGGCGTGTTAATAACTAACCTGAAGCACTTTTTTTTAATTTGTATTGACATGTCTTTTAGTTATTATAAATATTATAATGAAATCAAAACGCGGACAGATCTTGGTGGATAATTGTGATGATGATAAATGAACAATTGGTATTTCACTTTTGCTTTTCGTTATTAATATTAATATTATACTCGAAGGGAAATCATCACAAAGTTAGCCTATAAAATTAAATGTCCACCATGCTTTTTTATTGCTTTACATGATTGGCAAAACACGAATTAATATTAACCGGAATTTGAATTAACTTTTTTGTGCCAATCAATTGTTTACAACAAATTTTTTTGTTCTTAATATTATTTATGGTAATAACAAAATTAATAATCTATCTATCTTTTATGCTAAAAATTTTTTCATGTGGATGGATATGACTAAATTAAATCAAAGTAATAGTAGATGTTACACTTCCGTTTATCTTATTGGAAAATTTAACTAGCTGATTTGTAAAAATTAGTGATGTTAGCCGGCTAAGGAATTTTTAAACGGCTCAGCCGGCCAAAAAAATTTCTCTGGACATTCATTTTTAAATCTGGAATTTTAGTGCAGTATTCAATGGCATAGACATTTAGTTGAGATGGGTCCACCTACATTACTTAGAATGACAAAAAAACCATACATTTACTCAAAAAACAAAAAAACAATACTTCATAACAGGATAAAAGTCATAGAGTTTCTATTCGTAATACAAAATTCTTATTTTTACTCGAATAATAATTATTATTCGTTCTATTCGAATTATTATTATTTGTTTTATTTGTTTTATTCGTTTATTCGAATAAAACTTTCAATGTAATTCGAACACTCAAATTCATAACGATAGTAGTAGTGATAATAATAATACTGGCAAGCTTAGTACCATCTGAAAAGGGGTTTTCGTCAACTGGGATTTATTAAGTTCTTAGCCGGCCAAGGTTTTTCTATCGGCTAACATCACTACCCGATTCTTCTGTCCAAGTGCTGTAATTCATTATTTCAATTCTTCTTTCTGAAGAACTTTTATTAATGACAGTGTTTTCGCTTGTATCAAAATTGGTTTAAATTTACAACATCTTCAATTCCTAATATATCTAAATTTTCATTTTCATCCAAATAATCCAAATGAGCATATTATCTGATTTATTATCATATGAAATTCATTTTCTTCGGTTCCTATTTCACCTAAATTCATTATAGATAAATGCAATTTAAAGTAGTTTCTCTCTTTCTGCAATATCTTTTCTAAATTCTTTTTTTGCATGAATAACATAAAAAGAATGAATTTTGGCTAAAATTTCAATCATATATGTAGATAACCAGCTCCTTCTTTTCCCATAAAATCATTGTAAAATAGAAAAAATTCGTTCAGCACTAGCTGTATGTGGAGTAACAGAAAATAACTTGATTGCCAATTTTTGTAAGTGATTATAATTGTCTTCACATGTAGACCACCAATTAATTGGGATTATCCAGTCTATATGAACATTTGAAGAATTAGAAGTTGCCAAAGAATTTTGCTTCATCCAAAAAATCGCCATTTTGATATTTACGTAAAACAATTTCAAGATAAATTGGTTTATTTCAATTGGTGCATTTAGATATCTATTTGCTAAATGTTCTTGCATCAACTACGGGCTTCCTTTTATTCCATTATCATTAAATATATACAAGTGGAATCATACTTGCCAGCATATCTTTCTGTACCTTTATTAAAATGTGTCCAAACAATGTCAGGGGATCTTCTAGAACTCTTAGAATTTGACAAATAAAGACTTTGAGAATCAGAATTGCTTGACATAATTTAAAAGCAATATTTTTTTTAATTTCTAGAAAATTTCGAATTCGATTTTGAATTTAATATTAATAATTTCGGATTTCGAAATAACTTTATTTCGCCATCATGTATGATCAGGATCAATGTAAAGGTATTCGATACTAGAAAGTAGAAACGGGTAGTGATGTTAGCCGGCTAAAAACTTGAATAAATCCCAGTTGATGAAAAAGCTTTTCAGATGGTACTAAGCATGCCTGTATTATTATTAATTACTACTACGACTATCGTTCTTATTACTATAATAATAATTATTATGATTTACTATTGTTATTGTAATATCTCGCCTTTAATTTAATGGTTCGAATAAGGTTTATTTGAATTATTTGTTTTATTCGTTATGAATTTGAGTATTTGAATTACATTGAAAGTTTATTCGAATAACGAATGAAACGAATAAAACGAATAAAATGAATAATAATAATTCGAATCAAAATAAGAATTTGTATTACGAATAGAAACTCCAACTATGACTTTTATCCTGTTATGATATATTGTATTTGTTTTTTGAGCAAATGTATGTTTTTTTGTCATTCAAAGTAATGACATCTCAACTAAATCTCTATGCCACTGAATCCTGCACTAAAATTCCAGACGTAAAAATGAATGTTAAAAGAAATTTTTTTTAGCCGACTAAGCCGATAAATTTCTTGGCCGGAAAGGGCGCATCCTTTTGTAAACAAACATCCCAGTCACAAATGACCTTTATCTTGTAGCGTTTCGCTTCTTATGTTATTATTTGACACATACTTCTTCTTAAATTCATAGGTATTGGTTAAATAAACCGCATCGCCTAGGTAATAATAATAATAAGAGAAGTCCTTTTGGTTTTTCCGTTTAAATTTTCTCTTTCTAAAAAAAAAATAATATTAAATCCAAGATATCGTACTTATGTATCAAATTTAATAGAACAACACTTTCCATCTCCATGTGCGATGAAACAATGATTTCTGATAGCAAAATCTGCTGTTGATGATTTAGGAAAAAGAAGCTAGCAAATAAAGGACTCCAGCTACCAACGAATTTTTTTGTAGGTCATGATTATCAAGATGTATCGCAATTCTATGTGGACAGGAGATTCAATCAAAAATTGGCAAAAAGGTTATAGGTAAGAGTCACGACATTCATCTACCAAAAGTGATTTTGACCTTGAAAATTTTCAATGTATTCTTAATTCTGTTAAATTTTTTTAAATTTTCATCATTTCATTAGAATTTTACATGGGGAGTTCTCTAGAAAAAGGCACCTTAAGTTATAAAATTTTTTGAGTAACAATCCCTGCGAAAAAATTTCAAGCTTGCATCTCATTTTTTACTAAATCATCAGGAACTGATTTTTTCATCAGTTATAATCTTTATATATTGTGCAAAAAAACTCAATTTTTGTCAGAGCACACTTAAGGTACCTTTTGTCAGAGGACCCCCGTATTAATTCAGACAAAATAAAATTTTAAATTTAATAAAAATTTTTTTCCACCTCATAAAAAACCACTAAAATAATAAATAAATAAATATATATATGTTTATATTTGGCATAATCTTACTGTGCAAAATACATATGGATAACCCCTTTGATACCAAAGAATTCATTCTTAATGGCTTAAACCATGTTAATGCTGTT